ATATTTTATGTTAAATGAGGCTTTTTTCGCTGTGGCTTTTCAATTTAAACTATCTCTCTCTCTCTCTCTCTCTCTCTCTCTCTCTCTCTCTCTCTCTCTATATATATATATATATATATATATATATATATATATATATATATATATATATATATATATATATATATATATATATATATATATATATATATATATATATATATATATATATATATATATATATATATATATATATATATATATATATATATATAAGAATTCGGGAAAGTGGTAGAGACCCTGATCTTGCGGTTTGTGTGAAGTAGGCCTTACTGTTTCCAGTTGGATAAAATTATGTCTAGAATTTCCTGCTACAATATCGCTTAGTGGGATGGTGTGGTCTACGGGCAGAGCATTGGACTGCTAGCCCGAAGGTTTCGAGTTCAGATCTTGGTTCGGACTCGTGACTACAGGACATCCCTGAGTCAACCCAGCTCTGGTGGGTACTTGACTCGCTGTGCCTATCCATTCATATGCCGAGGTCACTGAAACAGATGAACTTCATCAACCCCTATGTGTCTTAGGTTATGTCCAGCACTGATGTGGACAGCAGTGCTGTTGTCCTGTCAGTCATTGGTTTATGACACATGACACAATACGTCAGACAGGGTATTCGTTAGCCAACAAACGGAAGCGACATTGCTAAAAAATAATGTTAGTAGATGTCACTCAACATGCCAATATCTTTTGAACTCGGAAATATTTGGGAAGGGGTTTGGCCATGGTGCGTGTGCATCAAATAAGCGTTGACCATGATTATATATAAAGGCCATATCTATATCTATCTACCTGTGTGTGTATATATATATATATATATATATATATATATATATATATATATATATATATATATATATAGTATTATCATCATTTAACAATTATTTTAAGCGAGCGCTTTTTAACATTTTCTTGACGTCCATAATGTAAAATGCCATGCTAAAAATGAATACCACATGGTTTCCTAAAGCAATTTAAACTCGGCTACCCAACTGCCAATCTGGCAAGTCCGACGAGCCCTCGTTTTTTCGAGTGAGCGGGTCGGGCAGTGAACGCGCGGCCTGACATCCTGGGCGCAAGGCGATAACTAAATTGTTTAGCACTTAGCTCGATCCTCAACTATCTATCGATTTTAAATATTGATGATAATTCCACGCGGTGACGTCAACAAGTTTGTTGCAAAGTCCACTCTGATTGGTTCCTCTCCCCCTTGTCTTTGACTATCAGACGGTGCCGCGGCAACTGTTTCCAGCCGTTCTGCCGACGGATTAGGGAGGGAAAAAACTCGTGTAGCTGCCTGCGGGTCGTTGCTTTGGTTTCCTCGTGTGATTTGATTCGGCCAACTCTATATCCGCCAGTTGTGTCCTTTGTATTGATTTTACCCTCGATCTGACCTCGGTTTGTACCAACACGGATCTCGCGCTTTCTCGCCAGCGTCGCGCGAGTGCATTGAATATAATTATCTCGTGTCAGAGTTGGGTGGCGTTTTTAACTGTTACTGAGATAAATCATCTGTTTAGTTTAAGGGGAGGAAGTGTTCGGCTAAGGAATAGGCTAGGCTTGGGCCCGGCCATAGTAGGGCATTAATTTTGATCACAGTGGTTATTCCTGTGGTAAAGTTAAACCAGAATAAATTAATAACTTAGGGTTTCCTTCTGAGACATGGCCGTAAACTTCTGCTCGTATAAAGATGGGCGGCTCATGGTGGGGAGTCAAGATGTTTGCCTATCTAACCTATTCCGTTGATGGTTGCGTTTTATATTGTGGGGGAGGCGGGGGGTCTAAGGTAAGATCCGGGGGAGGGGGGCAGTTGACGACCCGATCCTGCAAAAATAAAAATACGTAGTAAATTATATTCCTGATTTCATCACATACCCAAAAGGCAACCCGTTAGATGTGACAACCCATGCCATACTACCAAAAGACAACCTGCTAGATATAACAACCAATGTCATACAACCAAAACAAAGCCAGCTAAACGCGACAACCCCTGTCACACAACACTAAGACAACCAGCTGGCTGTCACACCCTGCAACCACCATAATATTGTTTTAGCAACCTGTTCCTGTCAACTCGGCAACACAAGTAATCGACTTCGTCATGCCCACCCTACAATTTTCTCCCCCTCTCCCCTCCTCCCGCATACAACTAACCTTTCACCATATAACGCAATCGATGCTGGGCCATGAAAGTTAATCCACGCCACTAGTAGTCGCTGTTTGATGTGACTAGTGCCAGCATTATCCCAGTCGGCTGGAACTGCTCTTGTTATGATGAGGCGGGTTTCTTGCCTCGCTAGCGCCTCGCAGACAATCGCCGCTTATCATTAGTGGTTATTCGAAGATAGCAGGGAGAGAGGAGGGAAACACCGCGAGCGGGGTCTCGTATTCGCCAGCATTAACCTATATTTCTTTAACTCCCGTCTCTAGGTTATAACCCGAGTCAGGATCTTGAGTTTAATGACACCCCCCCCCCCCTCAACTTCCTCTCTTGCACCCTTCGAGGTCGACTCACGGTGTAGAATATAAACGCCCCCCCCCCCCTTTTTTTTTCTCAACTCGTGGCAGGAAGGGCTTTATTACTCACCCCACGTCCATGTGTTTTCGTGTGATTCGGTTTGATACAGTGTGGTGGTGAGTACAAGTGTTCGTACCCTCGCCTCAGTCTCGCGAGGCTACCAGCGGTAATGGTCCGCTACAGGGAACCGATAGTCGACCTGGTAAGACTTTTTTCCAACATGGCGTTTGATTTCTTGTTTCTTGAGTCGCGCCCGTCGCCTCGCGTTTGTCTGTGTTGTTGTCGTAGATGTAACCGTCGTAATAGCGTATCGATTGAATAAATACCTCATCGCTCTTGTAAATCTTACTTTATTGATTTTTATTTTAAAGTTACGTGATTAGATCGTTGCATGTATACATATAAAACAACAACACATTTCGCTGTACGAATCCTATAGATTTTAAAATATTTGACTTAAACTATTTGTTTTAAAAACCTGTATTAAATCAACTTATTTTTATTATGCTTAATTATTGTATTGTTATGAACACGGTTTAACATAAGCCATCCTGATCTTGACTTCGGGGTTGTTGTTGTTTTTTTTCGTCTTCTTCATTAGGCTGTGTATAAGATAACATTCTAATGATTTCTTTACGTTTTGACAACATGGCAGGAGGGAAGTATTCAGTGGGAATCCGTTCTAAAACCGTCAGCTTGGCATTTAATTCGGTAGTTTTTCCTTGCCTTGAAGCACACACAAACACACACACACACACACGAACGACCCTTCCCATTGTGTCTGGGCGATATCGAATACGTAAGCTGTTCCCCGCTAGCATCGCCAGTGTAAGCCGAGGATAAGTCGAGCACACGAATACAATACCCGGCGTGTCGAGTTTTTGCTTCTCGGCCACCGCTGCTCACTTGTTAATTTATGCCAGACAGCAACGCTGACGAATTACCGCCCTCGGGTACTTTGCGCCGCGCGGAGGAATTTCACAGATAGATTTGGACTATTGGAAGACATTGTAACTGGTGTAACAGATAGTCTGGCTTCTGTGTGCGGGTGTGTGTGGCGAATGGCTCTGTGGGTAAGAAGCTGGTTATTGCTAGTGTTAGCAATGGGTTTCGTGGTAATGTTATAGTGAGTGGTATGAATATATTTGAAAAGATATTTTTGTTGATTGGTAAATAACAATCCAGTTGACATGCTCATTAATCTTGTTTATGTGGTGGTCTATCTTTTTACAATATTATATGAGTGGTGGTCTGTTGGTTCAATACAGTATGAGTGGTGGTCAGTTGGTTTAACTCAAAGTGTGTAGTCTGTGGTGGTCAGTTGGTTTAACACAAAGTGTGTAGCCAGTGGTGGTCAGTTGGTTTAACACAAAGTGTGTAGTCAGTGGTGGTCAGTTGGTTTAACACAAAGTGTGTAGTCACTGGTGGTCAGTTGGTTAAGCTTAAACAAAGCCAGAGTATTTAGGGGTCAGTTTGTTTGACACAGCTAGAGTATGCGGTGGTCAGTTTAACACAGTATGAATAGTGGTCAGTTGGTTTAACACAGTATGAATGGTGGTCAGTTGGCTTAACACAGTATGAATGGTGGTCAGTTGGTTTAATAACCTGAGTATTTAGCGGTCAGTTGGTTTAACACAGCCAGTGTTTGGTCAGCTGGTTTAACACATCCAGTGCATGAATAGCGGTCAGTGTATTTAACAGTCCGTACATGTTACGGTTGGTTGGTTTAACACAATCTCTATTGAGATCATGTATATAATTTCAAACAATACAACCCCCCCCCCCCCCCACACCACCACCACCACCACAACATGTAAAGTTACCTGTGTTGGGGGGCCGATTGTGCTTTTCCTTATGAAGGTGTTCAAACCGCCAAAAAAAAAACCTTGGCATGCCAAACGGCCTTGAGCCTCTGAAATATGTATTTTTTCCCCTTTTACAAATCGGCACATTCAAACGTGTAGAGGTCAGGGATGGGGGGGGGGGGGGGGGGGAGAGAAAGGATGTTCTGTGTCAACGTCACTTCACATCTTGGCATGGTTTACACCTTTCTCCCGTAATTGATACTTAGGGACCCCCCCCCCCCCCTCTCACTACCACAGTAGCCAACAACTGTCCTCTGTTCAGCACTACGAACCAAAAAGATCACCCCCCCCCCCCCTTCCCTGCCCGCCTTCTCGCCGGTGTGTAGCACATCACCCGAACGCCTTATAAATAGTTCAAGTAATAGCAGTTTCTCCCCTCCGTTTCTCCCGCTCGACTGCGGGCCCCAGGATCCTTTATTAATGGCGATTATAATAATAAAAGCTGCCCTTGTAGTCGTTCGGTGCGTTACAGCAACGCCAGATCGCATTACGACACACTCGCTGTCCCCCCAGTGCTCGGATCAATACGAGTAAACAATGGGGGGCAACCATCTTTGTTGACGGTCACGTGATCAACATTACCACAAAGACTAAAAACCCGTTGTGCACAATATAATAAATTATCGATTTTTTGTTCGTTTTCGGTTAGTTTCTCCTGGCCTTGCATATTGTTGTGTTTGAGACCTGGAAGGAGGATCAGGGCGACAATGATGGTGGTAGGTGCTTTTTCGTTTCGTCTCGCCCGCTGTCGCCATATTGGTTCGTTTTAGTTTTTCACCGTAGGGGTGCGTTTGGCTTTTTTTGTCGGCTCTGTTACAGAGGTGGGGAGGGATGGTGGTTTTAAAAATTCGTTATATTGGATTTACTTCGTGTGAGTAGTAACAATAACTAATAATTTGTGCAGATGTTACTAATTAATTGGTTTACAATTAATAAAGCAAGCGCTTATCATTATTGTATTTTTAAATTTTTAACTCATGTTTTCAATCAAGCTGTGATTTTGTTGGTTAGTTCGGAGTTCCGATAGTGCAAATGTTGTATATATACTTTGTTCTAGATCAATGCTTAAAGATTGGCCTATATTTACAAAACTGTGCTGCGAAATTTAGTCTGTTTTTTTGTCATCCGTTTAGACTCATTTTTTTTTTCTTTAAGGGGGTCATCCATTTATGACGTCCACAATTTTTTTTTATTTTGGACCCCCCCCCCCCCCCACCCCCACAAAAATCCACTTTTTTTCCTTATAAAAGTCCATATGCATCCACAAAGTCAGTTTTTTCGGACCACCCCTCCCCCTGAACGTCATAAATGGATGACCCCTTTAAAAATTCGGTCTCGGCTTCTTTCGTTTCTCTATGCCCCCCCCCTCATCCCATCTAATATCTGTCAGTGAATTATCCCCAAGTGTGTTGGGGATAATTCACTGACCGCTTGAAGTGTGTTGGGAATAAATCACTGACCGTCTGATGTGTAATGTGGATAACTGACCGCTTCAAGTGTGTAGGGGATAAATCACTGACCGTCTGAAGTATTCTGGCCCACAACTTTACCCCAATATCTCTTACGTTGTTAAAGATTCGTGTTATGAAGTCGTAACCTTTTATTAGATCGATATGATAGCACAAACAATAACAGTGGTATGGTAACACAGTGGTATTGGTAATAGCGGTAGGGTAACACCAGACACTGTACTCACGCCTGTAGTAATGTAGGGGTAGGTAACAGGAAGTAACGATTAGTACTCACCATGTCAGACTTGACCATTTGTCATGTGGCCTTACAATAGCACCATCTGTTTCAGTAACACAGGCTGTTTATTTTGTTTTGATCTAACCGCAGCCAACACATTTGCACAGAAAGTTAAATATAGGGAAAAAAAATATCAATTTTTATTTTGCGTGTTGAGCTCTTTCAAACTTGATCTGTTCATGATTCATTTGTTAAAATACACCAGCTGTTCCCATACGGATCATCAGTTTTTTGGGGCGACAGCTTACATGTTAGTATGGGTTATGGTCGGGTGCCTAAAGGGCGACAAGTTACATTTTATCATGGGTTATGGGCGGGTGCCTAAAGGGCGACAAGTTACATTTTATCATGGGTTATGGACGGGTGCCTAAAGGGCGACAGCTTACATGTTAGCATGGGTTATGGGCGGGTGCCTAAAGGGCGACAGCTTACATGTTAGCATGGGTTATGGTCGGGTGCCTAAAGAGCGACAAGTTACATTTTATCATGGGTTATGGGCGGGTGCCAAAAGGGCGACAGCTTACATGTATGGGTATTTTCTAAGACCAGTTTTTGGACATACGATTTGTTTGTTTATGATTCAATGCAAGTACCCGTGTGGATGTTTATTATTCAATGTTAGTACCTGTGTTGATGGATACCTGTATGGATGGATACCTACAGTACCTGTATGGATGGATACCTGCAGTACCTGTATGGATGGATACCTATAGTACCTGTATGGATGGATACATATAGTACCTGTATGGATGGATACATATAGTACCTGTATGGATGGATACCTATAGTACCTGTATGTATGGATACCTACAGTACCTGTATGAATGGATACCTGTAGTACCTGTATGGATACCTGCAGTACCTGTAAGGATGGATACCTGCAGTACCTGTAAGGATGGATACCTGCAGTACCTGTAAGGATGGATACCTGCAGTACCTGTATGTATACCTGCAGTACCTGTATGGATGGATACCTACAGTACCTGTATGGATGGATACCTGCAGTACCTGTATGGATGGATACCTGCAGTACCTGTATGGATGGATACCTGCAGTACCTGTATGGATGGATACCTATAGTACCTGTATGGATACCTGCAGTACCTGTATGGATGGATACTTGTATGGATGGATACCTGCAGTACCTGTATGGATGGATACCTGCAGTACCTGTATGGATGGATACCTGCAGTACCTGTATGGATGGATACTTGTATGGATGGATACCTGCAGTACCTGTATGGATGGATACCTGCAGTACCTGTATGGATGGATACCTGCAGTACCTGTATGGATGGATACCTGCAGTACCTGTATGGATGGATACCTATAGTACCTGTATGGATACCTGCAGTACCTGTATGGATGGATACTTGTATGGATGGATACCTGCAGTACCTGTATGGATGGATACCTGCAGTACCTGTATGGATGGATACCTGCAGTACCTGTATGGATGGATACTTGTATGGATGGATACCTGCAGTACCTGTATGGATACCTGCAGTACCTGTATGGATGGATACCTGCAGTACCTGTATGGATGGATACCTGCAGTACCTGTATGGATGGATACTTGTATGGATGGATACCTGCAGTACCTGTATGGATGGATACTTGTATGGATGGATACCTATAGTACCTGTATGGATACCTGCAGTACCTGTATGGATGGAAACCTGCAGTACCTGTAAGGATGGATACCTGCAGTACCTGTATGGATGGATACCTGCAGACCTGTACGAGGTGTTGCAGGTGTTTACACGTAGACTATTGTTATTGATTTCTGCTCTATTGACGTCGTCGTGCAAGGTGTCGGCAGGTGTAAGCTTAGGGTGTGGCCAGGCGTGTCGTGAGGCTGCTTGTGTGGTGTGGTAGCCACACCGTGTGGTAGGTCACACCATGTGGCGGGTCACACCGTGTGGCGGGTCATTGCTGGTGGTAGGTCACACTGTGTGGCTGGCCACTGCTTATGGTAGGTCACACCGTGTGGTAGGTCATACCGTGTGGCGGGTCACTGCTTGTGGTTGGTCACACCGTGTGGTAGGTCATACCGTGTGGCGGGCCACTGCTTGTGGCAGGTCACACTGTGTTGGTTCACATTGCCTGGCAGGTTATGTATTCTAGTCTCTACACTCTTCTGAGTTGAAAAAGGGGAAGGTCAGGATGGGCGATATACTCCACTATTTTCAACCTTTCTTTTTAAACTCCTATCATTGAACTGCTGTGGGTTTTTTCCTTTCATTTTTATTGCTCGCTGTACTGTTATCTTATTGGCTAGTGAATTTACTTGACTTCACACAGTTAGAGTCGTCTTACTTATAGAAATTTGAATCACTTCCATTCAGTGTTTCTTTCAGACATTTTTTTCTTTGGGGGGGGGGGGGGTTGCACACACTTTATGAAGGGGGGGTGTGGATTTAGATTAAATTCTCTTTCGGTGGGGGTGTCGGTAAAAAAAACTGCTCGAGCAATGGCAACATTAAAAAAAAACAATTACTCTCCTATTTGGGTAATTAAATCTACACAGATCTTATTTTAATTTTATACTATAAACAACGCAATGTGGATGCTACGGATCTGTACAGAAATAATAGTTTATATAACGCAAGTGATTGTGTATCGAGATGTATGGACCAATAACGCAAGTGAATATTGTGGAGCTAGGTACACATATTCAGACCACAGTCCTCCTCAATCTGTGCTGGCCACTTGGTCTGTTAGTTTTTTCCTTGACTCAGACAATCCCCCATTTACTTGGTAGCCCAGTGACTTAAGACCGGCTCAAATCCATTGAATTGTGTCTTTGACGTCATCACTTGAGTCAGTCTGTGCTAACACGAATCAGGAGTAGGGCAGGGGGTGGTGGGGTTCGAATGGGGAGTAGGGCAAGGGGTTGTGGGGTCCGATTGGGGAGTAGGGCAGGGGGTTGTGGGGTTCGAATGGGGAGTAAGGCAGGGCGTTGTGGGGTCCTATTGGGGAGTAGGGCAGGGGGTTCTGGGGTCCGATTGGGGAGTAGGGCAGGGGGTTGTGAGGTTAGAATGGGGAGTAAGGCAGTGCGTTGTGGGTTTCGATTGATGAGTAGGACAGGGGGTTGTGGGGTCCTATTGGGGATACTTAAGACAGGTGGTGCACTCTTTCTCGACTTTTACTACTGAGGCTACTGGTTCTCATCCATATAAAAAAATAATATATTTTGGAGTAGTTTTTTTTTTTAACCTTAGATATCGGGTCATAACAAAACTTCGCTCCAGCAGACACATGGGATCCATTAACGGTTAAAAGCCAAGCAAGGTGGCCTCAGTTTCATTCAGATTCCAAAAATATATCGTGGTAGAATGTTCTGGCTCTTTCAAAGCTTAAAAAGAAAGGATGTTCTGGTTTTAATCAGATAACGCGCCTTTTTTTCTGTGCACGCCATAGTCACGTGGTTTTCCCCCATCAATTTGTATAAGGAGAGAGCAATCCATGCTATGGTTTCAACCGTCAATCTTATCTTTGCTAGCAACAACGTGTTTTGTGAGACCTCTCGCTTGTGTCTTTGTTGTTTAAACACGCCGCAGTGCGGCCATGTTTACCCATCATCCACTGGGGCCTTAACTGTAAACAAAGCAGGGGATCGAGGCTCATCCGTCTGGTACGTTGATATGTAGGTTCATATTCGAACCGCACATCTCATAGAAAAAAGGTGAAATGCCAGCTAATAGTTGTATTATAGGAAGGGCAGTAGGCATTCAAGATGTAAGCAATGGAATAAAAATGGAGTGGGGGCGTGGTTAAATGGATGGATGTAAAAACTCAAACCGGACAATTTGGTCTTGAATCGTAAAAAAAAAAACCCACCTCAAATCCCAGCATCGCCTTTATTCGAGCTGTAACCTTAGATCCCCACAGTCCTGATTTCCTCCCCCCCCCCCCTCCCCTTGATGGCCTGAGCCCTGAAAGTCACGTGATAAAAACCACTCGATCTTGCTGATGTTGAGCTGGGGTGGAGAAATCAGATGAAACTGGCGGCGAGTGGGCTAAACAGTAGAGGTCAGTGCGTGTTGTACTGACCCCGTTTTATCTACTGGTAACTGGGCACTTGCATTTCTATGACCTGTGGACACGGACTTGCACAGTTACATGCTGGTGTGTTAAGAATGGTCAGAATTGACTTCCACGAAGAGTTGTGTGATTCTGTCATGTGTAAGCCGATAACATACTGATGCACATGTCTGAAGTTTATGATCGTGTAGTGATTTGGGCGTCTGTCTTAAGTTTATGACCTCATAGTAATTTAGAATTTACTGTCTAGCTACCCCTAGTGTGTAATGTGGTCACCTTTCTACAACACACGTGACGTGTAATATCTTTTAATCGCAAGCCTACCAGATTTTAGAAGAATGCGTAATCGACAATAAATCAAAGAAAGTTGACGCCTGCGGGCTTCCATAGTCGTGTTAAAAAAAACCCCGTTTCTTTGATTCATGGCTGTTAACCAAGCAGGCATGATTACATCTAGTCTTTTTGTCTACAGACAGATCGACTGAAAGCGTCAGCACCTGTTTCCAAAAATAGATAGTCCGCCCCCCTCCCCTTCCTCGCATCCTGTGCTAATTTTATTTTCGTGGGCTATAGTTTAATTATAAGTTGATACTGATATTTACATTTTATTTAAGCAAATACATTTTACATTACATTAATTTTATACTGAGTTTTGAAAACGAATTTATCGTAGAAAGCCAGCCGTTAAATGTTTTAACTAAAGCCCCCTCCCTCCCATTTTTCCCCCTCAATGCGCTTGTATTGGACCAACGAGCTAAATCATCACTATTCACTAGTGTTCGCCTTTCTCCCTCCACATACAAGACAAGTTACGGTTTCACTGTTACTGTGTGTGCGCGCTTACACACAGCCGATAGCTTCCCGCTTTATGATTCAATAATCACACACAGGCAGGCTCACCTAATAATAGCCTGAATAATGCGACAGGTAGACCCGGGTTTTGTTGTTTGGCCTACCCGCAGGGAAACACGGAAAGAGATGTCTGGTACATCTTTGTGTTTGAGGCGATTAGGTGTTTGTTTAGGGTCGGCCATCTTGTGGCAGCCCACAACTTTTCACATTGGAGAGTTCTCATAGCTGCCAGCGTTGGTGTTTCTAGACTTAGGCCTAAATGGTGCAGTAGGCCGATGCTACAGTTACAGACTAGATCTAGAATCTACATGTTTTCTTTCACGTTGCACACCACGGTATAGACTATTCTGTAGATATAGAATCTAGACATTTGTGCTCTGAGAATCTAGATCTATAAGGCTAAGTATAAACTAGAATCTAGATCTAGATCTGTAGATTTCTAGATCTAGAATCTAGATCTCTAGTCTTACTTAATAATACTTAATTTTACTTATCCTTTGCCCTTTGGTGTGAAGATAATTTTTTTTTTAGTTTTTAAAAAAGCTTTGAAGAATTTTAACATTTTAAAAAACTAACTTTTGGTGTGAAGTCTATTCTAGATCTAGAGATCTAGAATCTAGATCTAGGAAAGATTCACTTAGTCTACTACTAGAATCTAGATTCTAGAATCTAATCATCTAATCTAGATCTAGAGTCTAGCTTGAGACTACTTAGATTCTAGATCTACTACTAACTAAAACTTACTTAGATCTAGATCTAGATTCTAGATCTAGTAAACCTACTAGTAGGGTCTATAGATGTATGGCGCAGTGTATTACTACACATTTAGCTATACTGATTTATTGCTGTCTAGTCACTAGTCTAGACAGTCTCTCATTTAGTTATTATGCAGCTAGCTGGATTTCTTAAGTTAAAGCCTTTTTTTTAAATTAATGTGTAACATTAGTAGATTGAGGTCTTACTCTTAGAGATCTGTGAAATTACATTAATTAGGCCTAAATCTTAGCATAATGTAACTGGTTGGAGTTTAGCGACCCATTCTGGTGCCTGGGATGATCAGCAAATTTTTTGTGCCACCTTCTCCCCCCCCCCCCCCCCCCGTTTATAGGGACAGAGTGGCCTATTGGTATAGAGATCTAGATGGCTAAACCATTAGTCTCGAGTTAGAATCCGGGTCAAGTCAGTAGACAGAGTGCTGACCACACTATCCCTTATTATGCTAAGGTCACAAACAGGTAAACTCTACTTTATTTGCCCCATAGACCATCAGGTTTGGAAGGGGGAACTTTTACGTGCATGTGTATAAATAGTCATATTACCACTTCAGGCTGCAAGTATTACTTTTAGTTGTTACACAAATTATACAAAATAGCTATAGCAGCAGTGGCGTAGCTAGGGGAGGGTGGGTGGGGTGGCGCTTTTGGGCGTCAGCCCTAAGGGGTGCCAAAATGGGTTTATAAATGTAAAGGCTCATTTTAAGATGAGGTAGAAATATACAGTCAAAGTTAAGTAAGTAAACAACTACAAAGCTTTACAATCTGATTGCTCTGTTTTCTACATCAGTTGTGTGACACTAAAATAAAAACCTTTACAGGCTAGTGACTGGTAAAAAGCACTACCAACCTTTCCAATTAGGAAGAGGGGAGTGCAAAATGGATAGTTAACCCCTTGTGCTGCAGCAATCAAGCTAAACTCTTTCATATGTAAATTATAATTGAAACACATTTCCTATAAGGTACTAGTTGCATCAATCAACATTTAAAAAGTGGATTGACAAAACTTATATTGTGTGTTAATAAACTTAATATACGGGGCCTATATATACAACTAGTATTTTTCTAAGCTTACAAAAATTACTGTACATACCAATAAAGTTAAAAATCCTTCTGATTTATACCGTCCCCCTATCAGATAAGGGCGTTGCTTTTTGCCTTTCCTTGGTGGTAATCTTGTTGTTGTTTCACAACCAGTGTAGTAAACTGCTGAATCAGTCTGTCAAACCAAGTAGCGACAATACTAATGCAGCTCAAAATTTGTTTTTAGAGTACGTTTTCACCCTGTTTGGTAACTAAACAAATTTATCATTCCTTCACATTTTAATGTAATAAAACTGCAATTCATCACATCAGTGTAAATGATTAAATATTATGGAAACAACACATTTCTGATTAACATCTGGTAAGCAAGCTTTCTACCGTTAAGGTGTGTCTGTAAAAGTTAAAAGATATCATAATTTGGGGGGGGGGGGTGTTTAAATGATAAGTTAACAAAAAAAAAAGTTAGCTAATTTATCTTAAAACCTAAAACCTGATTCATACGACATTGATTGGCTAAAGGTGAATGAACAAGCTTACAGTGCTTACTGCATTTAAGTTACATAGAGTTTATCAGTCAGTAAAATCTGATTAATAATGCTGCTTAATACTTGATATCAGTATCATAACTCAAGTGATTTAAAAAAAAAATAGAAAAAATACTAGAACTTGTTCCTGTTGCTACAATCACACATCTAATAACTTGTAATAACTAACATAGGAGACACACTTGACATTAACTTATTGATTTGAAATTTGTACTACCCATTTACACTGCTCTGGCTAATGTCACTGGTATCACAAATGTCAAGATTTCTGCAAGCTTAAATGTCACCCATAAAACCTCCTGGCTTCCTTTACTAACCTGGTTAAATGAGGAGAAGCAGATGGTTCTTAAGTTGAAGATTTTCAACCATTAATTAGGGTGGCCAATGAGTTTTTTAAACTTTATTTCTGTTTAAGAGACTTAAAATTGAAGAAATACATTTGTTTACCATTAATTTGATACCAAGTTTAATAATGATTGTATCCTAGAAAATGCTGTTTTTAAAAAAATGGCTATTATGGTTAACCTTTGTTACATTAAAATATGAGTAGGTCAGAAGACGCCCTGTGATAATTGATTGTGTAAACCTGTTTAGTATTTTAATTATAAATATCCAATCTTTGTTTTACAAACTTTCTTTTATTATATACTTAGAACTTAATTTGTGATTAAATGAGATAATTTTAATTGTCCAAATGTTATAATTTATAAATTTCCTTGTTACAGAATGGCAAAACTGGATCCAGTGGTGACACAATCAAGGGAGGATCAGGTGGTGAGACATCTGGTGAAGACAACAAGAAAACCTGTAACGGTGCCACAGGAACTAAGAAGAGAAAGAAAGGGAAACAACCAGTGTCACAGACTAAACCTATTAAAATGACTGCCACAGCCGCGGGCGTAGCGGCCGCAGCTGCAGCAACCACCACAACTAAGCTGGAGCCACTTGGCATAACCATCCCCAGAGCTACTGACATTATGATTTCCAGAACTCCAGACAAATCCAAGGAGCAGGAGGAGAAACTGCCAGAGATTCCAAATCTCGACTCCCCTCTCTTTAAAGATGTTCCATCCAAAACTAAAGTTGAGTCCTCTTCTGATTCGTCCTCCTCGTCTGGGGGCAGTTCATCCTCCGATGACTCGTCCTCGTCAGATGATGATTCAGACGAAGAAGAGGAGGAAAAGAAAGACACAAAACCAGCCAACAGTATCCAGAAGTCTGAAAGCATCGAGGAACCCCCTAAAGCCAGGACCCCAATCAAACTTACAATTTCAAATGTTGGGAAACCTTCAGCCAAAGTCACATCCACCGCTTCCCGTGAACTGATATCCAGCAACTCATCAGATTCAGATACAGATGTTGAAGACAATGACCAAAACAAAGGAGAAGCTGTGACTCTAAAGGTAGATTCTCACAGTAATGAAAAAGGATTTCATACAAATTCCATTTTACAAGAGGCAAAGTGTGAGAAATTAAAAAATGTGAAGCATTATGAAGTTGAAACCAAAAACAAAGGGAAAGCCCAAAATCATTCGGAATGGAAAAACTGTGATGCAGGCAGTGTCAAATTCAACTGCAAGGATAGCAGTGAGTTAGTTAATAATGAAAGTAATGATAACAGTTTAGACATGCTTGGTTTTTCTTCTGAAGACAAACCCAACACAGACAAATCAAAAGATCCAATGGCATGTGACATCACAGAAGAAGACATTTTTAAACAAATTGAAGACGTATTACGACCAATTGATAGTCCGTCAAATCAAACAAGTCACGACAAGAAACCAACAGTTGAAGAGACAGAGACTCCATACACATATCCCACCATCCCTAAAGACAAGACCCAGGTGAATCAAGTTGAAGTTAATGCAGGCGAAATCAACTCTGCATCACTACGAGACAGCCAAGACACCAAGTATTGTCCAGATGGCTTCATCTTGGCACCAACCCTGAGTAAATCCCCACAGCATCTTAAGGCTACTTTAAAATTATCTCCTAGCACTGACCCCTTGGCTGCCTCAGAAAGTGAAGATCCTGATAAGGACATTAGCAGAGAAGCTCTTACTCCTGGAGAAAAAACAGCTGACATTGAAAAGAAAGACCAATCACCAGTGAATAATATTTCCGAAACTGACAGCAAGGTTGATGACAATAAATCTAATTCAAATCAGGACACCCCTGTGTATAAAAATGGTGAAATTAGAGAACCTTCCATAGATCTGAGTGGTAAAATGGAAATGAAAGACCAAAACTTAAACATCAAAATTAGCAACTCCAATGATAGTAGTTTAGAACAGGCATATCAGTTCTCTAAAGAGGTAGAGAAGCCAAAAAGTGAAAAAAATTTAACTGACTCTGCATTAAGTAAGGCAGGATCTTCCGATACAGTCTGGCCTAGTTCCTCCAAGATCAAAGAATCTGCAACAGCTTCTCTTACTTCTCCGAAAAGCACAAGTTCAAAATCTAGTTCTAGCAGTTCAAACAGTAGCAAATCTCTGAGCTGTACTAATGGAATACCAGACAGTGAAAATCCATTCATTACCTGGACTAAGTATGATGATGACAACTTGGCACCCTTAAACACAGCACTCCCGGCATCCACCCTCGTACAAGCGCTGGCCCGAGCTCCTTTTCCACCTCTGGCGCTCCCTGTTGATGGCCAGGTTCCACAGATATCCCCCCTGGGAGGGGCCGTAGCCCAGCTGTCGCCTCTGGGGCTGGCAGGACTTTCCCCAGCGAGCTCTCAGCTGCGCATGTCCCCAGTAGCACAGATTCCAAGGCTGACCTCACCAGGCTCACAAAGGCTAAGGCTGTCCCCCAGCCACAGTTCCGGTGCCCAGCAGCCTATGTCTCCTCCACTTGGCCACACCACACATTCATCTTCTAGTGACAGCAGCAAGTCTACCCAAGGGGATGATACCAAAGGTGGAAAGGTCGCACCAAAAAGGTAAACAATAACTGAAGAGCTAAGTTAGTCAATTGTTGAGAATCTCTGGTGATTAAGTTACCCATGAGGCAAGATGAAGAAGAGTTTACCTGTTTCTTTGTCCTCACCATGTAAGGGGATAGTGTGTTAAGCACTATTCCCAGCTGCCTTTACTTTCTCTTATGTGAGTCAGGTACCCATAAGAGCTGGGTAGACTCAGGAACGTCCAACAGGTTCTAGCCTGAGATCCATACTCGATACTTTTGGGTTAGCAGCCGTGCGCTTGCTGTAAAATCATACCATCCCATAACCCCTGGTGGCAATTAAATTAGTGCCAGCCAACTTCAGATAATCTGATTATATTTTTAAGATAAACATTAATGCCTCTATTACTATAGGTTGAAGCGCTACTTTTTATAAATGATACTTTTTAACATACATTTTAATATACACGTCCAACAAAACAGAACAATCAAATTCATGAACATTTTACTTTTTGCTGGATGGGCAAGGGTATTCTGTCAAATTTTCTTTTAAATGCTTGCCCTAATTTAATAGAACATTCTACAATTAGCATTTATAACAAAACTATAAAATTAATAATAGTTGTATACCACAGTTATTTATTGCGCTAATATTTATTCTAGACCCAGCTTAGAGTACACATGTTGATGATGTGTTTACTATGTGCTTTATACAGGATACACAGTATTCAGTATAATTATGCGATATTATATTTGAATAAATATTTTGTAAATATAAAGTCCATGCATTAAAACATATTTTAGGAACTCAACTTTAGCTCATCTACTATAAAAATAACAAGTTTATTGTTATTGTCTTAAGAGGTTTCTCTAAATTTCTAGTTTTAAACATACAGACATTATTGTTGATTAAGTTTGATATGTTTTTTGTGCAACATTCTGTACAAAGTTTTATGGTTGATTTTCATATAAATTTGTTACTAAATGATTAATGAAATCTTTTATCTGTTTCAGTGTGAAGCGCACCTCCCGGTTGTCCAATATAATTGACAGTCTGAGGACCTCTAAAGAGAAGCAAGTTGCTGGAACTGGCCAAACTAGTGACCTGACCGGTCGTGAACAGGGCAAGAAAAGCACTCTGGATTCTCTCCTGGGAAGTGGCAAGAAGTCCCCATCCCTCTCCTCCACCCAGGCTCTCCACGGACACAAACAGCAGTCACCCTCATCATCTTCACCCATTTACTCTGGTGATCAGCGGATGTCAGCAGACAAACTTTTCCGGGACAGCATTGGTTTTACCCATCAGATAAGCCCAGACACTCGTATCGCCATCAGGAGCAGTTTAGATGCTGCCAGAGCACAGGCAGTCAACAACAGTTTTAATGCTTTAAAGGATGATCTTGACAAAGGCAAAAGAATGCTTGAAAATTTAGAACTTATGAAAAATGGTGCGGTTGATCCGTATGGAAAAGTGGGGCCGTCAGATCCGAAATCCCGAAAAGTAGAAGCTAGTCACTCCCACAGTCGAGCCAAACCTATGCCACCATTGTCGTCATCGTCATCAGCTGTCACATCAACACCTTCCTCATCCAGACCTTCATCTCGTCAATCATCCAAACAACCTAGCGGTGCAAGCTATCCATCACCTTTACCATCCTCTTCCTCCTCTCGGACTGCAACCACCACCACCAGCAGCAGTAACAACAGCAGTGGTATCAGCAGCAACAGCATTAACAGTGTCATGTTCCAAGCCGCACCATCGGCCGCGCTGGCTGCTGCGCACATGGAGCTGAACGCAGCTGCTGCCAACATCCTTGCCTTCCAGCACATGTATGGCATGCAGGATCCGTACATGATGAAGACTCTGATGAGCAATCCCTTGTACCTCCAGAGAATGATGGAGTTCCAGAAACAAGCCATGGACCCTATAATGCTGAGGCAGCTGGAGATGTTTGAGGCCGCCGCGGCTGCTGAAAAGAACAAAAACAACAAGGAACAAAGGGCGGCCATGAACGCTCAGTCCTTGCTCTGGCAGGCCCAGGCTGCTTCCATCCTACAGCATCAGCAGATGCAGCAGCTGCAACAGCTCCAGCTCCACCACCAACAGCAACAGTTCCAGCAGCAAGCCGCCGCAGTCAGGGAGAGGGAGACCAGGGAAACCATTGCTGCGATCATGGCAAGTAAAAGCAATAGCTTGAGCACCAGTACCAATAAATCCAGTGGCAGCATTTCTACGGGGCAGTCTGCAAAATCCCTGATGGCTTCAGCATCCTCATCATCATCCTCCAACAAACGACCACGACCGGCAGTACCACCCTCACCGTCAGACCTTTATTCCAGAGATGGTGCCAGCGCGGAGAAAAAATCCAGACCTAGTCAGCCCTCTTCTAGTCATCTCCCCAACCACAACTACCATCCTTCATCTTCCTCCTTGTCCAGTTCAACATCATCTTCTGCTAAACAAGGCCAGGGCTCGAGCAAACCTGCGGGTGGCAGTGCTGGTGGCAACAGCACCAAACAGCGGAGCAGTAGCAGCAGCAGCATTAACCCTCTCAAGCACGACTTCCTCGACCTCCCTTCTGCTCTTCAGCTCTCCGCTTCAGCATCCCCAAATCTCTGGGGTTTCCCCATGCTGCAACCCCCATCTGTAGACATGGCTCGAATGACTCGATTCTTTGAACGTCCGAATGAAACACCCCCAACCTCGGCATCAGGAAGCCACACCGAACCAGAAGCCAGTGGGGCAGAAGTACTGGATCTTAGTGTCAAACCACGAACAGGTAAAACATGAAACTGACTGCCAGGCAGAGTCTGGTCACCACCCAAAGTGTGAGGTACTTTGCTAAAAGATTGGGTGTCAGCAATAAACCAAAGGATGAAAATACTCAGCTTCAGATATCGCCCAACATTTCCATAATGAGTTGTGATGGACTCATTGAGCTTACTGATCCAATTGTATATCACAAAAACATGAAGATGGACTAACTGAGCTCCTCTTGATCTGATTAATGTCACTTAGATATGGTGTTGTAATGTTTCAGAGATTATTCTTACATATTTGAGGATACATCCAGCTGCTTACAGTGACTATCATACTGGATGATAATCTTTTTTGTTCATGAAAATCTTATGCTTAATTCACTGAAAATAGTTGGATTATCTTGACAGTGGATTAAAACTGCATGAATCCTTTTGTGGATATATATATTGTACACAATATTCAGATGACAAGGGTTTATATCCTAAGTGAACAATTTGACATTCTGCAATCACCAATCATTTTGTACATTTTTTTTCTTGTAGTAAACATTTCATATAACTTTGTACCAAACTGCATAACAAATGCAACTGATGTATTCACAGAGATTCTGCTTTTGTTTGTTTCTGTTTATACTGCATTTACCTGGTATTTCTTCTGATCACCTGTGTGGGGTCCACCTTGGATCAGATAACTTATTAGTGACTACATTGGATACCAGTATTTTTCATCAGTTTACATCAACTTTTTGGAATGGGTTATAAATGTTTGTTTGTGGATCTACATCATATACAGTTTTTTAATGCTGATTATCTTGGATCTGTTGGCTGTATGCCAGGTAATCATGATTTTCCTTACAAGGATCTTTTTTTTTCTAATACCAGACATTCATGATTTACCTTTATCTTAAAGGATCTGTTAGCTGTATTACAAGTATTCATGATTTATCTCTTTCATGCAAATACGACAAATATCCACTTAGTTCTAGTGTTTGAAATATGTGAATGGTGTTAATAAACAATAGATCTATATCTAAAGTAATTTCAGAGCAGTGCCCTGTAGAAAATTTCTCACTTTGTTGTAAAGATGTCCTCTATAGGTACTCTATAGCACAGGGCATTAATTTTTTTTTTAATGTACAGAAATCTTAATTCTCTTTCAAGGTTGCAATTCTTGAGTCCTCCATGACATTAAAGCACATTTGTATAGTCCTGAACTGTCTTACTTTTTACATAAAAAACTAAACAGTGTCAGTCCAAGTATTATTTTTACAATTTAACTTTTACTGTCGCTGTAATCCATATTGTTTTTTTTTTCTTTCTGTTTTCTCTCATCTATTTTTGTATTCTGTGTGAATGTGTGGGGGGCGAAATAGCTAAAGATTTATTTTACTGTAGGGAAAAATTGTTTCCTAAATGTAAAACTACACATGGTCATTCTAAACTCTACTGATCAGGAGGGACCAGTATCTATGTTGAAATAGTTTGTAGAATTTATTTGATGTAGCAAAGTAGGTTTTAAAAGAAATTTTCAGGCTTTTTTTTTTTACTTTGCATTATTTAAAACAATATGGAAAAAAAGGATTTAGTTATATTAAAGGACATTCATTTTTAAAGCCAGTAAAATATATAAAATGTATAGTTTGCAGTTCCCTTGTTACATGCAGTAAAGGGGAAATATTTCCTATTTTAACTATATTAGATGAAGATAGATTGGATAGTACTGAAAGTAAATAAGCTCTAAATTGTTTTGGATATATTTGTTTGCTTTACGTGCATCCATATCTTGAATTAGCAATTATATACTTTTTGTCCATCCATATCTTAAGATAGAAGTTTTTATTGATGCTTCAAAAATAGTACATTCCATTTTTACTGTTAGAAATCTTTTACCAATGTTTTTTTGGGCAATGAAAGCAAAGGAATATATTCATAGGTCATGCTTTGAATTAAATAGTAAATAAAAAGCAATAGACATTCAGGTTGAAAAAGTTAATTACATTGTAGCTCCTTCTCTAACTACTGTTCTCTGGGTTGTAAATTCACATTTAATCTGCATTCACTTCAGATGGGTGAAGAGATTCATCCTGTTTATTTTTTATTAATAATCTGGCTCCTGTAAACATTTTTGGTTTGTTTAGCTACTCCATATTTGCTTCCTAGTTTTCAGACCCAGGATGCAAGAACCAGTGTATTTCTCAAGGCTTTAAATATTTACAAATTCTTGGCAATTATCCATTCAGTACATAGGAGCTGTGAGGAAAGTTTGCAGAAACTAGGTCAGAGTGTGCTCCCCTTGTAATCTTGCCTGACCTGAGTTTTCCAACAATAAAAAGAAAAATTCATACCTGAAAAGGTCAACACTACTGCATATTGCCAGCTCTTTTAAAGCTGCATTCTTTCCCCTCAGAAATTTGAAAAAGCAAAATCAGAGACTACACACATTTCTGTTGCAAGTTTTAGGTTGCTGTAATTATTCCTTTGTGTGAGGTTTATAAAAATTTATGTATTAATTCCACTAAATAATATAGGTCCATAATATGCTAGGGTATAAAATATTAGCATTAAATTCATAAATTATTCAATTTATGTAAAAGTATTTTCAATTTTTGAAATATAAATTTTTCTAAGGAAAAGTTAGCCAGCAAATTAGTTATCTTTCAATATAGGGCTCTACATTTGACTTAACCAGACATGTATATGGACAATATATAAACACTAAAAGTGTAGATACAGTTTTTTGTGTTAATTCCTGTTACCTGTATGGATACATTTTTATCAAAAGCAAATGTACAGAAAAATTAAGCTAAGCTTGGTTTGAACTTGTTTACATGCATTTCATTTGTAGTCATGTTTTTTGTGCTATTTTGTGGTCTGATGACAGTTATAATGGATCTAAAAACCACACAATTGTTAACTCATTTGTTGTTTCAAAGTGAAGAATATTTGTGAATGCCCAAGCTTTGCTGTGCATGTCCTTGTTTTTTGTTTTTTTTTAATTAAACAAAAGTAACAGTAAAAGTAACTGCAATAAAATGACATTGAAGTCTTGACATGTTTAATTACTCAGACATGTGGGTTTAATGTTTGTATAGTAATATGCACTGTTTGGTAATCATCTCTTCTAGTTCATTTAGTGACAATGTTTTAGATCTATTTTGGTTACAGTTTATAGACTATCTCATTTGAAAAAAATAGTTTTAGTATAACTGTGATAGAAATTATCATGCATATTATTTTTACTTTTTCTGTCTGCAAAATTATGGATCAAGTTGTTTTTTTTTTTAAAGAAAATCTCCCTGTTTGAAAGCCAATTTGTCAATTTTTTTTTCAAATCTGGCCTGAGTTGAATAGCAATAACTCATTTTGTCAATCCTTTTTATTTTTTTTTGTACAAAAACTGAATGCTACTCCTTGTACAAAATTTTATTGTGCACAATAATTCAAAGAAATTAATTTCTTAGGGTAAAGTGGCTAATATTTGTAGTAACTTTCAGTGCTTTTATACTTAATTACCAAGATACACATTTCATTCATTTTTTTTAAATGTTACAAGCAAAATCTTTGAACCAGTTATGTGCAGTTGGTGCGCAGATAACTACAATTATTATGCATTTGTCAATGTTATTTAATCCAATGTCACCTAGTTTTTATCATGCTCTCTAAAGATAGTTCGGAGGAAAACATTTCTCTAGGCTGTTTAAATACTGTTAGCATTTTTATTTGTAATGACGATCCCTTGTCAGTGTACATTTGTGTCAGTTGTCTATTGAGATGTCTTTACTTTTCTTGTTCTCTCCCTTATGTATTCCAATAAAAGTTTTAAGTTAATACAATCATGATGCCTGTTTGTCTTAAATTTTTTTTTTTTACTCTTAAAAATTCTGGGGATGAGTTGTGTTGTATTTCTGCAAATGTTAAGCAGGGTGGGCCAATTGAATTTAAATTCTTTTGTTTTTAAACAAATGGTAAGTAAAATAAACTTCAGGAAGAAAGAAAATGGGATTTGATTCAGAGGTAATTTTGTTTTCAACATCCCATAACCTGGGTTACGTAGCAAAATAAATACTTTTGTATGCCCACTTACTTTAACAAAACTTTGTGCTCTGAACAGTGAAATGCAAATAACACCAACACTTGCCCTATGGTCTAACCTCTAACAAAATACTTCATCTAAGCAAAATCTGGCCAAACCACTGTTAACAATTCCTGTTCTGGAATAGAGTATTATATACAGACATCCAGAATATTGGATATTTTTTTTTTATTTAAGCAAACTTAAAATAGATCTATTTTAAATTACAATTTTTAAAATGTGGATTTATTTAAAGATATGTCTAAAAAGTACTAACCATAAAACTTCACTACACCACCTTTAAAAAGGAAAAAATCATATTGCCTAAAGATCAAGACAATAAATAGAAATATTAGATCTTTGAGGAATGAATAATTACAAACAAAATATGTTGTAGCCAAAAGGCTAACTTACTGTCAGGCTACTGTGTAATGGTCTCCACACATGCTAGTCAATATCTTAGTTACAGGGGCAGCTAGGCTCAACACAGGCTAACATTAGTTACAGACGTAGCTAGGCTCCATAAAGGGCCACTGAAGCTAGCCAATATCTTAAGTTACAGGGGCAGCTAGGCTCAAAACAGGCTAACAGTTATAGAGCTAGGCTCCACAAAAGACAGAAAACCGATATCTTAGTTGCTTGCAACTTGCTGCTTGTGATGCGTAAAGTGGCCTAGCATTTGCTGTCAAAAATTATTCGATCACTGCAGCAACGTAGCAGCTTATATACATCTAGGAAAAATAAATTGAAACCATCCTCGGCCGCCATTGAGGATGTAAAAAATCATTTCAATTAATCCTTACTTTGCTACTCATCACGTCATTTTTACAGCCCAATTCTCTCTCCTCCCTCCCCTGTGGTTATACGCTATTTAATTTTAACTGAACTATAGATTTTTTTCGCCTCCTGTGGACTGTTCTTGTTTAATTCATTATTATGTTTGGTTTGTATACAGCTTCTTGTCCTGGGTGTTCCCATGCCTCCATATCTACGGCGCCGTAAATAAGTTTTCGAATAGATTTTTTGCAAATTCAAGGGAAACAACCTTTTAAAAAAAAAGATTTTGATATTCCCTGACAAGATGAGTTCACTCCCCTTAGTTAAAACAAAAAGAAATCCTAAAACACTTTAAATATTTTTTTATTTTATTTTTGAAGATTTATTTCGAATTACAGTTTTCAATGGTAGTTTTAAACTAACAAAAACTCTGGGGAAAAAAAATCTAATTTCTTTATCTTATTTTAAACTATTGCAATGGTCAGAGCTAGAATAATCCTGAAATTTGATTGTAAAGAAACAGCTAGAGAGAAAGCACCAATTACTATTGTCTTGCTGGCTGCTGATCAGTATAAGGTATATGAAAAATAAATACTCAAGAGCTAAAAATTTCTCAAAGAAAATTTTCATTTACAGCTTTCCTCAATATTTTTGACAAATTTTTCCAATATTAAAAAAAAACCTGTGAAGTAATTTTAAAGAAGATAAAAGAGTCGTCCACTGATCCAACTATTTCAAATTAGCAAACAAATCCATAAATATAAAAAATGATCTAAATAAGTTCTGTAAAAAACAAAATCAATCTATGCAAAAAGTAATTTTAAAAATCATAGCAAGGAAAAAGTGATATTTCTTTTCATCCAGAGGAAACCAATGCATCACAAAGTAGAAAGACAAACTTGCCTCTCTTGAACAAGCCAGCACCAGACACTCCACTCACACACAATGTACATCTCAATACAGTGCATAGATCAAACAAAAACAAACCCAAAACTCTAGTCTAGGAAATGTTTCACAATGCATTTCTTAAGGCCAGTTTGATAGAATATACACCACATCTGCTATGTACAGTTTAATGAAGACATTTTTTTCTAATTCACCACTAAGGTTCATTTAGCTTTTTAAAGCCAATTAATGCCTACCCAGTTTTATAACCTCCCAGCACTGTTAATATGAACTACTTTACAACGCTGTCACTGTCAAAGTCCAACTACCACCTATTGTTACAATCAGCCTAGATTTGAACCATGATTCACTCAACTTTTACATCAGATATGTTGACAAACTTAGACAAGCTAACCAGACTATGTAATAAAAAAATGTTTGAAAATAAACGATTTGCTTAACGCATAGTAAAAAGTTATTTTGATTTTAGAATATAAAAAGAAAAATTGTAAAAATGTTTTCTTCAACCATAATCCAGAATTTCATGATGATATTCAACAATCTCTCAAATAATGTATTAATTGTGTCTGGTTTGTCAACAAAATTACAACCAAAACTTTAAAATGACCATAACCCTAAAGATGAAAGAAGTTCTCTTTTTGATATTGATGAGTTAAGTACAGTGTGGGGTGAGCAAAGATGATTTGATAAACTGATTTGCTTTTTTTTAAAACAATGAAATGAGCTGACAAGCAATATAAAACAAGTCATTTGGTGTATGTTTTGATTTAAAATAAAAATCACACTTAGGATAAACACATCAAAACAAGCGTAATAGAAGTAACGACTAATAATTAATTTTTTTTTAAATACATTTTGGATAAAAGTAAGATCTGCTGTGTTAAGGTTAACTAAAAAAATCTATGAGGCCTATGTCCCAGTAGGGATGACAGGCAAAAAAAAAAATCTATACAACCGAAGGATTCAAACAAGTGTTGTTACTTTTAAGAACCAAATTAGAAACTAGACAGTACAAACAAAGTGAAATATTCTATACTTTAAAAAAAAACAGACATTTTTGGACAGACCTGTACACTAATATCTAAACAAATAACTTTAATGGAGTGTGAGTAATGAGCTAAATAAAACATGTTTGAGCAATAAATATCCAAGTGACTTTCAATAAATTACCTGACCAGGAAGCACAAAACTGTTTTTTTTTTAAAATGGCATTCTTACATGTTAATCTACTCTAGGTTTATCATGCACAGGCAGTTCCCATCTTATGTGGGCTCTTAATTATATCACCCCAGTGGGTATATTAAGAAAGAAGAAAGTGTACTACCATTCTCTCAACCCCAAGATATTAGATAAATACAGTACTGTTAAACCAAGTTAAAGTAAAAAGAGCTGAGTAGTAGAGTGACTGATAGAATCTATTCTGATATAAGCTCTGTACCCAGTAGTAGAGTGACTGATAGAATCTATTCTGATATAAGCTCTCTACCTAGTAGTAGAGTGACTGATAGAATCTATTCTGATATAAGCTCTGTACCTAGTGTTAGAGTGACTGATAGAATCTATTCTGATATAAGCTCTCTACCTAGTAGTAGAGTGACTGATAGAATCTATTCTGATATAAGCTCTGTACCTAGTAGTAGAGTGACTGATAGAATCTATTCTGATATAAGCTCTCTACCTAGTAGTAGAGTGACTGATAGAATCTATTCTGATATAAGCTCTGTACCTAGTAGTAGAGTGACTGATAGAATCTATTCTGATACAAAGTGCTATACCGCGGTGGTGAGCTGTAGCTGGTTAAATACAGATAAATGCCAGACGCTAGTGACTAGTATTTAGTACGAGGTAAATGCAACATCAAGTCCATTTCAGCTACAGATATATCGGCCAGTCACTACTCCTATTATTTTTTTTAATAAAAGAAGGGAAAAAAGTTATATTTACACACACACACAATTACCAACGTATATTTGAAAACTAAATGAAGCAATTTCAAATCAGCATACAATATATGTATCAATATTACCATGAGAAAACCTTTCATAAAAAAAAAGCCTGAATTATTTATCTGAATTGAGAAAATGTTAACTTTATGTTTGTTTCTATTTAATTTTTTTTAAATGTAAATAAGTGCTGCAAGAAAATTTAAAGAAAAAATCATTTCTTAGAGGAATCTTTGCTTCTTGAAATTGGTTTTCTTACTACCTTCTATGTATTAAAATTTTAAACAAGGTATTTTTCTGCCACTTCTTTTAGTAAAATTATTCAACTAGCACTAAGCACAAGGAGTAGACCAATGCTACCTTGGTTACTAACATAAGACAATCTAAAGAAGACAATAATGAAATGTGGAAATGTACATAAATCACTTGAAATGTAGAAAACTTCCACCAAAATTCTGGTGTAGGCTACATGCTTAGTACCAGCCTGGAATATAACTAATGATGAGAATGTTTCATTACTTACAGATGCGTTAGCTCTTTCACTTTAAAATTTAGGGATCAAAGTTGTAATTTTTTAAATTCCCTAACTTGAAAAATGTAAATACAATAGACAACAGGTGAGAGATGAACCGTCCAGGTAAAAATAGAATTGAAATATTTTGTGAGTTCTGGTTTCTACTGCTGACCTGGGAAGAACACACATTTACAAGGCAGAAAGTCTGAAGGAGCTTGCATGTTCATGGCAATAATGCTGTCAATAATATCAGGACATGCTGCTCTTTTCTCAACTAAACCAAACGCAAACTGGAGAAGATTAGTCTGATAAAGACAAGGTTTTAGAAGATTAGTCTGATAAAGATAAGGTTTTAGAAGATTAGTCTGATAAAGACAAGGTTTTAGATTAGCCTGATAAAGATAAGGTTTTAGATTAGTCTGATAAAGTCAAGGTTTTAGATTAGTCTGATAAAGATAAGGTTTTAGAAGATTAGTCTGATAAAGACAAGGTTTTAGATTAATCTGATAAAGTCAAGGTTTTAGAAGATTAGTCTGATAAAGTCAAGGTTTTAGAAGATTAGTCTGATAAAGACAAGGTTTTAGAAGATTAGTCTGATAAAGACAAGGTTTTAGAAGATTAGTCTGATAAAGACAAGGTTTTAGAAGATTAGTCTGATAAAGTCAAGGTTTTAGAAGATTAGTCTGATAAAGTCAAGGTTTTAGAAGATTAGTCTGATAAAGACAAGGTTTTAGAAGATTAATCTGATAAAGATAAGGTTTTAGATTAGTCTGATAAAGACAAGGTTTTAGAAGATTAGTCTGATAAAGACAAGGTTTTAGAAGATTAGTCTGATAAAGACAAGGTTTTAGAAGATTAATCTGATAAAGACAAGGTTTTAGAAGATTAGTCTGATAAAGACAAGGTTTTAGAAGATTAGTCTGATAAAGACAAGGTTTTAGAAGATTAATCTGATAAAGACAAGGTTTTAGAAGATTAGTCTGATAAAGACAAGGTTTTAGAAGATTAGTCTGATAAAGACAAGGTTTTAGAAGATTAATCTGATAAAGACAAGGTTTTAGAAGATTAGTCTGATAAAGACAAGGTTTTAGAAGATTAATCTGATAAAGACAAGGTTTTAGAAGATTAGTCTGATAAAGACAAGGTTTTAGAAGATAAGTCTGATAAAGACAATGAAGACAATTGTTACACAATATACTTTAACAGAAAAAATTTGAATCCAAGTTTTTAAAAAAATCTAAAATACCTATGGAAGATAACCTCAAAAATAAAAATGTTTGTAGCTGTTGCAGCCTATTTTTTATTGAAGCATCAGCCGCTTCAGTTACCAGATGTATGGCCAAGGTGGAAAGTGAACAGGAAGGCTGGTTACAAGGTATTTGCTTTTAAACTAGTAGCCTTTGTTTATAAGATTTCACATGGGATTAATGGGAACCAATAAAACAATATTTGTTTCAATTTTAATAAGCATGTAACTCAATGATAAACTGTACATTAATAGCTTAAATAAAATCATTATATACAGTGTCTTTCTATACAAATAGTGGTTGATATTTATATTATGATAAACAACAAATGAGGTTTAATTTAAACTAGGCGTTGTCTAGCAATGGAGACCCTACAAAGTTTGTTTTTACAATTCCCAAGTATCACATTTAAGAGGAAAAATAACATGAAGATTGCTTTGGGATTTTCTTACAACAAATTTTTTAAAATTTGGGGAAATCATTTTTTTTCCTATAAATTCCTTCGGACAGTATTTTGGCCCTAGAAATCTGGTGCACCAGGAATCAAAACAATTGTTTTGAAACAATAAGAATTTGTTGGGGGGTTAAGGGTCCTTCTCACACAAAACACTCAGTGCCTTAGATTTATGTTTGTCACATCAGCACTTGATCTTACATGTTTTGCAGAGCAAACTAAATGTGCTAACCCGACAGGCTTGTGTATCCCTGATTTCTAGGGACAACTCAACTAAACTTCAACAAGCATCAACTAGTAGATTCCATTACATTACTGAACAAATCCATGCAAACTTGAACCAGCTGTCTGTATGGGTGGGTCTAGAGCTGGTCAAAATGTGAACATGAGGCGCAGGGATGGAGAACACAACCTTAGACTGTCATCTTTAGACTCTGCTGTACAGGTAATGTTGAGCCTCGACTCAGCCGTGGATTTCTGAAAAGAGAGGCCATCTCAAAAATGTATCTTGTACAACAGAAAATTATAAAATAACAATTTTCATAAATGGTGCACATTCTTTAACATATATAAATTACAACTCAGCATTTAATAAATCTGTAACAACAACAAAAGCAACACATGTTGAATTACAACAAATTTCATCTTATCTATGTTAACATAAGCATCCTGAGTTATGAGGGTAAAATTACAACACAATTTTAGCAATATTTAGTGACATTTAGAGAAATTGAACATGTACGTGTTATCAAATTAAAACAATATACTTTTAATTAGCCAATTTAAACAAAGATTTAACAATAATTTGAAATATATATGCTATTGATTACTTTATTTATAAGCTTTTTTGTTTGTTTTCAAAATGAAGCCTATTTTAAAATCAAAATAAACAATACAAAAATATAAACATAACAAAATAAAAATTCAAGAATCAAAGTGAACTAAAGACCAAAACAATTGTAGCCAACAGAAAGGCACCAAGGCTTACAACCCTCATGGTTTCTTACCTAAACTGAATTCAACAAAAATTCAACTTGCCATTTTCAAAGACATTTTTTCCTGACCTTCCTGATAAAAATCATACAAGACAAGGATTTATATACTTGTATTTGTAAATGATGTTTATAGAGACATGTTGTAATCTAAGTAGATTTATTATGTTCATTTTAAGAATGAGAAAAGCTGATTCTTGTCATCTTTAAAAAAAGCTGTTTTAAATTTAGTTCAAAACTAAAGAATAAATTATAACATTTATCTGCAACATAGAACAAGCAGTTAGGTCTCCAAGTGCATAGAAAAAAAGAATGCAATATATTGTGGGTATCTAACACAATTCTAAGCCACCTAAACTACACAGGTGAACATATTCCTTAATGAATGCTTTAGTATTAGTGTAGGACAAGATACAGATTTTAACAACATCACTAATCTTACACTACAATATGCTGTATACAAAAAGGTATTTCTGGCAAGTCAAGTTATCAAGTCAGAAGCCAAAAAGACACTAAAATAATAACAAAAGTAGTGAACAATAATGTCATGTTATTGTAATATTATGTTCTATTAGTTTTCTGTTGGGTGCGGTTAAGAAATTTAACATAAAAATGAAGCTCTTGCCTGGCCATACAACTTAGCACATGTGCTGTAACATATCGCAGTGAATGCAAACATATTAACAGATTTAAGCTACAAACGTGTAAGAATTAATACAACAACAAGCTACTCAAATAGAAACTACTTATGATTACAAAACTAATCCAACAGACACAAAGAAGGTATGCTAAAAGTGAACCACCTTAGGACCCAATATAATGTAAATGGCTCATGCGTTTAAGGTCAGACAGCGTTTTGTCCTAATACCAGCACTAGCAATTAGCTCTGACCTGGAAATACAGGCAATCAACTGTTCAAGTGGATAAGATTGAGAGTGCATACAAAGTTAACAAAATGCAGTTCAATAAATGTAGAAATAGCTCTACCTCTGCTGACTGTCACCTTCATAATAAGGGAAAAAATTTCATGAATACAAACTTTTAGAAAATAGTTACATTATTATAGAGACTGACATTTCCAGCTAGATACAGAACAAATGAGTAGTTCAGCTTGATGCTAGGTTACCCAAAATACGTTTTTTTTTCAGTCAAAATAGGAGAATGAGTCAAAGAACTCTTTAAATTTTAATAAAAAAGTGTTTGAAAGTCTATTATTACCTGGGTGAATTAAGAGGGCTTGTTCCTGTCTTACTCCGCTGATCATCTTTGGCAAAATTTCGACATGTTGCTAGTTTGGATTCCAGAGCCTAAAACATAAGGTGAATTTAACATTAGTGAAACAGTGGAAGGTAATCACAGACAGTTTCATTAAAGCAACTTTGGCATTTGTCTTATTTATACACATTTGAAGGTACAAGAATGCTATCAAAAATTAATTTTTTAACAAGCATTGGAAATTATTGCTTTAATATGGCACCTTCACCCAGCAACATACTGATAGAGTTGGATGACTAAAATAATTATCCTGGCTGTTCAATTTACAGGACAATTTTAATCTCAATTTTTTTTTAAAAAGTAAAATTTATATAAGCCTAAATTATGTATCATGCAATGATCAAGATTATTAGTAACTGGATATTATTATTAATGGTTTATTCATAAGTACTAATTAGGGGCTGCATGTGCATGCTAAAATTATTATACATAAATAAAATAAAATCAAAGATGTTTATTGTGTATGATCAGTGTATGTATTACATTATTTTAAGAAATCCATACATTACTAATTTATTTTCAGTTTTTTTTTCAAAACTATTTTTAATATACTTTTTGTATTAGAACTAGCTTTAGTAATTTTTATTAAATTAGCTCGGTGCATATGATCTTTTATTTTCAATGAATTTATGACTGAATAATAATGTAATAATAACATTGCTTAATAAATGTGAAGTTAATTCAAATGCAATTTAAGTGTAAAAATCAAAACATTCCAGATAGAAAAAGATTGCCCAAACATTTTCAAACAGATCACTTTATCAACTTCAATGCATTTAATAAATGGGTTGCTGTCAAGATGAAGTGTAATAGCAAGCTGTATCAAAGGCAAACTACTGCATTTGAAAATTACTGCTAAGTAACCTTAATTCACACTTTTTCAGATATATTAACATCTGGGACAGTTAATAATTAAGGTAATTATTATCCAGTAACCTAGCTCAAATTTTGTCAGATATAACAAATTGTATATCTGTGCCAGTTAATAAGGACCCTATATCAAATTTAGTCAGAATTAACAAATTGCATATCTGTGCCAGTTAAAAAGTACCCTATATCAAATTTTGTCAGATATAACAAATTGCATATCTGTGCCAGTTAATAAGGACCCTAGCTCAAATTTTGTCAGAAGTCACACGATGCATTTCTGTGTCAGGTAAAAAATAACTGCAAGTATTGGACAGCAGATGCACAGGCCCAAGCAGTTTATGCAGAAAACAAGCAGTGGTCCCATGACACTGGCTACAGGATTCTAATTACTTTGGATAACAACTATACCGAACTGTCTTGGTCAATATTTAAATGTGGACAGTCAGATTTTAATTCCACAGAGTTACGCTGCCACCTTCCTGAAAACTGAATGGAAGACAGAATTGAAGGTTAAACATTCGTGACAATCTGGTTAGGCCCTGTATTTTGGTTTGGAGTTTTTCCACTTAGTAGTAAAAAAAGTATATTTAAATGGAGCATACATTTATTGAAAGTAGCCTGTCTGACTGAACGCACCACAAAATGAGTATAAATGTTGTGTCACTATTCATTTATGAAACTTAAGGGTTAAATATATTTAATTTTTTCTTTCCTTTATTTTTTATATTTACTAAAAAAAAGTTATGAGTTTAAACAATAAGACTCAAATTATTTTTTTGACATTGTAAGGAGAATAAACTCAAATAAATTTTTAAAGACACCCCTAACCCACCAATAATACACAGATTTTTAAGTAACTAGCAAGCCAGAAGCAATATTGTACAGTTGTTTATGGAAATACATAGTTCCAATGTTAAAAAACAAACCAAACCACAAGTTGCTGAGGTGATATTTTAAGTCTTTGACCAGCAGTGCTGGGTGAAGGCAGATAGTTCCAATAGAAAAATATGAGCACAGCCTATGTATGAACATTACCCAGCTATGAAGGAGTATGTTGAAGCTTTAAGTACAGAGTTTGGTGCAAGCTGAGCTGAACTTACCCCAACTTTCCTCAGTAAGTCTCCAACAATATTGAGTGCTGATATCCTTGCTGAGGGTGTGAGAGGTGTACCTGTGAGACCCATACCAGGTGTTGATGGCGCTAGAACAGAACATTACAGAGGCATAAGGAGAGGAATCAGATGAAAAATTGTCAACATGATGTAGCAACTACAGCTTCAGACACAATTAGTTAAGAAATCTAATTGAAATTATAAAATATATTAACTAAAAAAATAAAAATAAAATGTGTGACATTGTGATACCTCGCCCCATTGGTGTGGTCGGTGTGGTAGGAGAGATAGCTTGTGCAGCATAGCCGCTATCCTGCATTGGTAGAGCTGCCACACCCAGAGAACCATCTCCGCTGGTTTTTAGTGAAACATCTTGATGTTTCTTGACATCAATTTCTGACTTCAGGTCTGTGGGAACAAAATTATGTTCAAATGTAAGTTATGAAAATAGATTTAAAAATACTATGTTCAATTTACAGGATGAACCCTTAACATTTTATACCACAATTTCAAATAAATAGGTGACAAGCTGAAATTTTTTCTCAAAGTTAAAATTCTATCTTAGTAATGAAATATATAAGTATTAGCTCTTAGCTCTTAACAATATTCCTTCTAATGAGCTTGAACCTGCATGAAAAATATTTTTTGGATGCACTGTTCTAAAAACTACTTATACAACTTAATACAGGGTTATTTGAATTTTACAAAATAACAGCATGGCAGGTTTACACCAACTGAGTGCCGCACAGCTTGTTGGTCACAAATGATTTAGACACCCACCTCTAGCTTCATCCTTTAGCCTTTGGACTGTTTCCAACAATGCACCTTTTTCATCCAATTCACTTTCCAGGAAAGCATTTCTTTCAATGGCCTGAATAAAGAACCAGAATTAAAAACTTGAAATCTCATTTAACAATACAATTACAATTAAATTTGAAGCCAAAGTGACCTGGCTGATTAGACATGCTGGTTTAAATAATAATAACGAAGTACCACATACATTTAATAATTTAAACATAATAATATATCAAAATGAAAAGAAAAAGCATTTGCACAGCATTTACTTACTTAGGGTAGGCATTAACAACAATTATGATAATATATAGTTTGAAGTGTGTTTTAAACTTCTATAGCTAATTTGTACCTGATTCAATCTTTGTTCAAAATCCTCCAATGAAACAATAGTTGCTCTGCAAAAAAAATGTTAAGAAACATTAAATTTTTTTAAAGATTTACATTTTTCTGACTAACTACTGCACAAAGTGAATATTGGTAAAGTGATGTGTAAGTTACAAATTATAATATCTATTTTAAACCGAAATTACCTTACATTTTGATCAAAATCAAATAGATAAGTTAAACCCAGTAAGTTGCAAAGATTTACCTCTTGGCTCTTTCTAAATCGTCATTGTCTTGTTCAAGTTCTCGTATATATTTTTGAAGTTCATTTTTGTGTGCTTCAACTTTGGCAAAGTTATCTTCCAGTTCAGTTATTTTCTTATGGCTGTCTGCTTGCAGCTTCTGTAACTTTTCCTACGAGCAACAAGATTTTAAACAGCTAGAACTATATTCTATTCCTCAAAATTTCAAGCTTAAATTAAACCATGATATGTTACCTTCAGAGAGTCGCATTCATTTTGTAGTCTTTCATTGGCTAAGCTAAGCTCTTTATTCTTTTTCTCCTCATGTTTAAGCTGAGTTTCCAGCTCCTGTTCCAGCTCCTGACTGCTGATCTGGAACTCTTCAAGTTCTTCTTTTGTTTCTTTCAGGCTTAAAAAGGAATAAATTCAGAATGTACAGCATTCTATAATTTAATAAATGAAAGTGTAACTGCAGTGAGGTAAACTGTTTAAACAACAGAATCTCCAAATGCAAGGGAAGTTATAAGTGATGTGTGTAGTAGAAACATAGTATTGTAATCCTAATATATAAAAGCCCATGTGCGCACTTCTCTCTCTCTCTCTGTCCGCAAAATATTTTCGCAGGATATCACATCAGAATCTTCAGCAATATATGGAGAACTTGAAATGGACATTTGTTGAAAATAATATGGTAGAAGTTTTAAATGTATAAACAAAATTTTATTTAAAGAAGAAAAATAAAAAATTAAGGCATATTCGAATGTAGAAAAACAGTTTTAATTATGCAACCGGAAAAGTGTTCATAGTTGAGACAAGAAAGCCGAAATCGATGATGTCACATGTCATATGTTTGAAGTACGGAAAGTACACAAAACCAATGGCGTCATCTTCCAATTTTAGAATACAAAGAAATTAACTATTTCATTAAAATTTGATTTAAATCTATAGATTTACTTATCAAGGTGTAATTTATGAAATTTATACAATTTGCTCGGCCAAAACTAATGCAAATTACTTAAAAAACAACATAAATACCATTGAAAAGCAGAGTTTTTAAAGGAATCATTTACGTCTTTTAATCAATGTGTGCATTCAATATGGTGTTGTGTTGACTAATTATGTATATAATTTGGTTTTATTTTTTCTACTAGGTTTTAGTAGCCTATGTTATTTTAAATGTGTCGGACTTTTAGCTATTTAGTTATTTCTTTGCTTTGTCACTAATATCGTTAAACATGTAGAAAAGCAAATTGCGTTTTGACCAATAACTATTTTATAAAATATTCTTCTGAAAAATGTAGGCCTATAAAATATGTAGACCAATAATCCATGTGAAACGGGTACTGACGGCTAGTATTCTCTATATTATGAGGATGTAATCACTAACTATAATTTTTATGTTTAATTTTCATAAAGTACATATTAAAATATTCATAAAATGTGATTAAAAAAATTTAAACTGAATATTTATTGTGGGCTCTTTCTTAATTTAACCAAGATAGATTCTTTAGCAAGTGAGAACTAGAAATAAAGGAGCACATGTCATAAGTCAATCTAATCCAACTTATGCAGTGACACAGCCAACATTTTACAGATAAAATAAATTTCAATATTGTCAATACAATAAGAATTAAATAAGAGCATAAGAAACTAAAAAATAAAAAGATAACTTACTCTTGTTTATACTGGTGTGCAAGATTTTTCCAGTATTCAATTTCTGCATCTTTTGATGCAAACGTCCTAGGAGCATCCATTTGTATGCTCTCAGATGTAATTAGTAGGTTCTCAGCTCATTAAATCAACTATATTATTTACATTCACGAAACTGTGTTACTTTATACCAGTAAAAGTTCTTGGTAGCGTAGGTCACTGATTAGAGATTATCTTGTAATTAACTAGTTTTGCTCTAACTCTGAAGTAGTGAGAAGTATTCCAATAAACGTTTATACTGTAAAACAAGAAATGCAGAAAATAAATCAAAATCTTTCCATTTTAGTAGATAAGATAAGGTTCACAATAAATAAAAAATCAATCTATGCTTACAATTTTTAATTGTTCCTAGTAAACCCTAAAACAGTATAACTTAGGCAATCTGATATTGTGAGTAATCATTACCAAATAAACCATTCCTTTTTTTAAAAAAAAAACATGTATTCATACATATATGCTTAAACAGCAAACTTGATTTTTTTTTTCTCTAAATCTGGATATAATTGCAAACTCACAAAGCAAGATAAGGCTTATTTCTTTAACTACCAGAGATACTATTTGAATATATATTTAAAATACATTAATACAGCAGCATTTCTTCTTCTTCTTCGTTCTTAATTTTTAGTGTTAAGGGGATCAGGATTTATCTGCCAGTGGGTTCGAACTCGAGACTTTGTTCGAATTTATCAACCATGAGCTTTTTGCCGACTCGACCACGCCTCCAACACAATTAAGCGTTACGTGTCAACTGGTTATGCGCCATTGAGGCCATTGACTCCGATTTCAGCCTGCTTTTCTTTTTGGATTTGCTTCCATAGCCTTTGTCCAACCAAGAACAATCTACAAGGCAGCAGTTTTTTAATTTTGGAGTTGTCTCTCCTAGAAGAGTGGCTGTCCCCAGCTAACGAGCCTCATCTGCCCGAGGGTTCGAACTCGAGACTTTTAGGTTTAGCAACCATGAGCTTTACAGACTCGACCACGCCGACCCCTAGCAGCATTTAAACAGAGGAATTGAATAGCCAGGTACTACAGATCGTTAGTTTTTGGCCTGGTGAAGATTATTTTGCTAAATCAGTAAGCCCACCTGACTCTAATAAATATAAAATATATAAATTAGTCTAATGCTGAAATTTAAAAAAGTGGTGTAGGTACTATTTGCATTGTTGATATTAATGCGATCTTTATTAAGTTATTACATTTTTCAATACATATTGGGAATATAATTAGCCGTATACATCTATCTTTTAAACTGCATTTTAAATTAAGGAATTTTAAATGTCTTTTTTTAATCACATTCAACCTGTGATAAGTTTTGGTGCAGAGCAAAAACCCACCAACTATATCTAATGGACTGTAATCGTGTAAGAATCAACAATATAAATGCTGCAAATGTAGAGTAGGCCCTACTTGAAAATAATTTTTTGTGTTTGAGGCTACATTTTTATTTACGTTTATCAAGCCTGCTTTTTCACTTAAGTAAAATAAGCATGGATAGGTTGTAAAGAAACTCTGTGATAGATTTTCTGTAAAACCCAATTTTTAGTCATTTGTACTCAAAACCTTACTAGGATCACTAGGTATTAAGTAGAGGAATCTTTACTTTTTTTAGGTTTCCATTACCACATAACAGAACAAAATTCCTCAAGACTCAACTAAGACTTTAGACTAGGCCCTAGATCTAGACATCTAGTCTAACTCTACTCTAATGACTCTTAACTCTTAGGCAGTCTAAGGCCCAATCAACTGATGTGGGTCTGCTGTGTTTGTGTTGTTGCACACACCGTAGTCTGTAGAACTAAATATAAACTAGGGCATAGGGGTAATTAATCAATTGTTTCCCAAGTTGAAATAAATTAAAACTGCTAAAAATCATAATAATTTAATAAAGTTTAACAAAGCTGATCGGCCAGAAACAATTTTTATTTGGTAGGATTTGTTGTGTTTTGTTTGAGAGATTTTCATCTGTTGCTGTTGAAAAGAGGAGTGATATTCTACTTTTCTAGAATCTAGGTCTAAGTCAAAAGGTACTAGGTAGATTTAGATTATATATATATTAAGACTCACGAAGTGTATCGTAGATTTACTACAGAAAGAAGATTTAAAATATGTAATTAAAAGGATTATTTTTCTCTTAAATTGAAAGTGAAAATAAACTATCTATGTATACGCCATTTTAGCGGAAGTGATGCTAACATTTAATTTTAAAGTGTTTGTTATATAAGCCAGATTTAAATAAATATAAGGCTAAACTTGGGGATTTAAAATAGCGTTTAGGCCCAATGCCTAATCTAAAATAGCTTTTACAAATGACATAACATAATTGACATAAACATATTTGCTGGCAGATAATCCTCGCCTTAACTAGGCCTACCTACGCCTCACATTTCCCCATTTGAATGTTTTTCTACAGCACTATGATCAAAGTGCCAAAATACACATGTTGGCCAAAAGAAGAAAACCAATTTTTAAAATAAAGTTTAAAGCGCCTTTGTTGTTATTGTTATAGGCCCTACCTTGCTTAATTTTTTTTTTTGTAGAAGTGTTCATGTTTAGAACTTGTACCTACTCAAAGCCTACTAAATAGGAGTTGGCGTTGTCCACAGAAACATAATGTTTAACTATTTTTTTTTACGTTTATTGAAAAGAAGCGAATTCAAGAGCAGTGTAGGCCTATATGCAACAGAACTATTTCTTGGTCTATATCTAATTCTTCAAATAACATTTTATGCATTTTGGGATGATAACTTTCCATATTTTTATTTTTATTGGACTTTACTCAAACATTAATAAAGGCCTACACAATATTTGAGATGGGGCATAACTGATCTATGATTAGTGTCATTATTTACTTTTTTACTTCCCTTGACTCGGTTTGGCCAATTAAGAAATACTCAATACAACAAAAAAATTTAAAATGTTAATGTACCCCATTGAAAAACAAAATGTTTTTGCTGCGCATGTAAATATTTTGTTGACATGGAAATGTTTATTCAAGCCATTGAAAAAAATGTTTCCTAAATAACAAAACATTTTTTAATACCATACACACACGTAAAGGGACCGTTTCCAAGGCCATGAGCAAATAGTGACGTCATTTTTATACCAAAATAATCTATCTGAAAAAGGTAATAAACCTTAACGTTTTATCCTTTGATCTCATAACGTCACACATGAATAGGCACCCTGACCCCCCCCCTCCCATACACACACACATACACATCTCTATTAAACACGTCACACAAATATTGAGCCCCATTCCTGCCTACCCATTTCCTAAAGTCTAATCATTAATTAAATATTTATAAGAGAGGACTCGACATTATAGCCGCTCGTCCTGTATACAATTACTCCCCCGCCCCCCTAGAGGTTGCCACGTTTTTAGGGTAAGGCAAAGGCGAGTGCTTTAAAAGGCGCCACATTGTACACTATATATAGGCGTATTGTGTTTGTGTAATTATACATGTATGTGTATTAGGCTATATGTAATTATGTATGTGTTTATGTGTTACTGTTAGCTCTATATCTTTAAGTATCCTTCATCTTCGTTGTATTCCACAAACAGTCATTACGATACTCGACACATGTAGTTTAAAAGAGGGAAATTATCAAGCCGCCCAATATAAAGACAACGAAACTTACAGCGGACTGTACAAAGTTAACTCTAGCTAATTGTTGATAACTATCAGAAATGTGTTTGTTTTTTTCCAGACCTGGCTTGTTTTAATTTTGTAATTGAATATCTTGTCTAATGTATAGTCCTGGGCTATCTTGGAATACTAGAATATTTTCACTAGCATTTGTTTACTTATTGTTTTTCATTTCACACACACACACACACACAAACACACACACAGACATATATATATATATATATATATATATATATATATATATATATATATATATATATATATATATATATATATATATATATATATATATATATATATATATATATATATATATATACATATATATACATATATATATACATATATATATACATATATTATCCGCCCCTGTCCTAGACTCTGCTTGACCCTCTCCCCCCCCCCCCCCCCAACTCCTGTAGACCCCACTGATGACACAAATACTGAACAGCTGTCTGTTATCTATCGAAGTCAACGTGACATCTGATTTATAAAATCTTAGCTGGAATTCACTTCCCGAATTCACCTGAGAATACGGTCATAAATTAGTTGGAATACACTTTACACCAACACCTGCCATCGTGCTTGTGTTTATCAGTGTGTCGATACAGAGTCAGCTATTTGACTCCGTGCGTCAGTGTGTCAAAAATGATCACGTAGGACTTATAGGCCTACGTGTGATAACGTGACATGAAGAGTCAGCTACTTGACTCACTGCGTCACAAATGTTCACGTTGGGCCTACACGTGTAGCCTACGTGATAGCGTGACATTAAGAGCTACTTGACTCACTGCGTCACAAATGTTCACGTAGGGCCTACAGGTGTACATGATGGTGATATTTGACCCACCGCGTCAATATATCCCGCACATTTTTTCTCTCTCTGTTTGAAGTTGATTTTAATTATTCAGTTTACCCTTGCGTGGCTTATAGTAATGGTCGACTGGTTGATTGATAAAAGTAGTAGCTATCTAACAACACGCACGCTGATCTATGCATAACTTTACATGGATATGTGCATGCTAATTTTCTGGCGGTCTCCATAATAAAAATTTTAATAAATGTTATCTACCTACGTCACAACCCTCAGAACACATTGCACAGCGTGTCATACTACTCCACCCCCTGTCCCCCTTTTCTTTGTATTGTTATACACGTATTAAACTATTTAAATGTTATTTCGTATGCCTGCCGACATAAAAACTTAGAAAGTTTGGCATGAAGTGATATTTAAGGAAATCATAAATAAAAATCTAGAGATGATGATGCCTTGTAGATATAGAAACTTTCGTCAGCTATATTCGGTATATAGTAATGTTTTTTAAAGGATGGGGGTGGGGGCAGTGGCGTAGCGAGGTCGGCTGTCACCCGGTGCGGCACTTAATGGTGTCACCCCCCAGAGGCGTAGCGACCCTTCCCGGGGACAAACTTTCAAGTTTTCGATTTGCACCCCCTCCACTCAAGCTTTCGATTTGCACCCCCCCCCCCTCAAACTTTCGATTTGCACCCCCCCCCCCCCCTCAAGTTTTTCTCTATATATTTTGCTTTTTTTTTGCTTTGATGTCACCCCCCTAAATGGTGTCACCCGGTGCGGTCCGCACCCCCCGCCCCCCCCCCCCCTCGCTACGCCCCTGGGTGGGGGGTATATTTATGATGTCTTCTAATTTTATTTTCCATTAGTTATTTAATTACCGAAAGATTAATTGTTTCTTAACCGTGCTTTAAATGCTTTACAATCTTGAAAAGTACCTGAGCTGTTCATGACTGAAGTTGCGAATGACAGTTTTACTTGTTGAAATAGCTAGCCCTGTGTAAAAGCCAGATTTTTAATAAGAGATATGTCCACTGAACTGATCTGATAAATATATACTTTTAACAGTGTCCACCCCCCGAAGAAAGTCTACCGCCCCCCCCCCCCGAAAATTTCAAGTGCACCCCCCCCCCCCCCGGAGAAAAAAGTCTGGAAGAAACACTGGATGGTTGTCGAAGGGGTGTATTGACTCCCCTAGATTACAGCACCGGGTGTCACCTGAGCTAGTGACGCCACTCTATCTCATCGATATATAACAATTTATTTAGCTATGTATCCATGACAACACCATCACATTCCCGTCACAATTTTGCAAAAAGAAACAACAGTTTAAAAATTGTGTGACCACTGTCCATTATTGCGTCAACCTCCTTGATGTGTATCCGGCAGTTTTACCAGAGGGAATAATAACTTTTCAAAGACTTTGGTTTTTGCTTGTGTGGCACCTCAGAGTTAAATAGAGGCTACTTGTTTTTTTATTTTTTTTTTGTTTCTTTTTTTTTTAAATAAACGTTCATGTTTAGAAATTAATATGATGCCAAATTTGAACAAAGGGCCGGCTTATACTATTTCTGAATAGACGGAATTTCCTAATTTCGCTAAAGCCACAAATGTGAATGTAATAAAATAAATATTACTTTATTGTTTGGGACTATTATTTTATTCCTGCTATATTTCTTCGGTGTCTCTGATCTCTGTAAGCTTTTTTCATTATCTTTTTATTGATAACAAATTAAAAAGAAATGTGTATCGGCAAACTGGTAGGCGTATTACACAAAATAGGAGGGGTAGCAGTTTGTTGGGGGGGGGGGGGAGGAGTAGCAGTTTGTGGGAGGGGTAGCAGTTTGTGGGAGGGGTAGCAGTTTGTGGTAGGGTAAGCAGTTTGTGGGAGGGGTAGCAGTTTATGGGAAGGGTGGCAGTTTGTGAGAGGGGTAGCAGTTTGTGGGAGGGGTGGCAGTTTGTGGGAGGGGTAGCAGTTCGTGAATAGGGCTGGGCTGAGAAGTGGGAGGGGAGGGGGGAGTTATTGTGTAATGGTGGCATTAGATGAACTATTACAAACGTGACACCAAACATATAAATACATTTACTATTGTTAAGATAAGCTTGAAACGTATTACTCTGTTGAAACGTTTAAGATATATATTAGTTGCCCAATTAAAAGGTCGACGTTATCTGTTCTGTATGTACATCATAATATACCTAGTCGGGGCCATGTCTTACGCATGAGCAAAAGAAGACTCCCCAACATGGCGCTGAAGTGGACTCCGCCTGGAAAGCGAAAGAGAACATGGAGGAGAGAGATGGAAGAAGAATTGCAGGCAAGACCTGGCATGAACTAAAGTGGCTCGCCCAGGACAAGGTGGAATGGTGGGGATTTGTTGCGGCCCTATACTCCACAGGGAGTGATGAGGATTAAGTTAGTAAGTATACCTAGCCGCCAAAAATGTCATTAAAAACGTCATTCTTCGCCCCCACCCCCGAAGAAACTCTGCTCCGAGATATGACATGAGGGACAGAGGGCCCTAAAGAATACCCCCCCCCCCCCCCCCCCCCGTTTAAAATTTTTTTTTATTACAACAAGCAATGGGTTTGTTTACTTCCATGGTCCATGCTACTTCATTTGCTTCATGAGATTTCAAACGCTCCTTCATATGCTTCATGAGATTTCAAACGCTCTTTCATATGCTTCGTGAGATTTCAAACGCTCCTTCATATGCTTCGTGAGATTTC